AGAAAGAAAGAAAGAAAGAAAGAAAGAAAGAAAGAAAGAAAGAGAAAACCAAAAAATTACAATAAGGAGATGTTCTAAACTGAGTAAGTAAACTCAAAGGCACATGCAAAATATTCCTCTATTGAAAAGAAAAGACATATTTTCGCACAACTGAACCCTCAACGAAAGGCACATGAAACTCAGTGCAATAAGGAAGCAGCTTCCCCTCAACTGAGCGAGATGCTAAGGCACAGCTGACTGGAGGCGAGAGCTACAAGGAAGGGAATCTCCTCTAAAGTTTTTTTTTTTTTTTAAACCTACTGCAAATTTGTTGTAGAGCTGATAGGTGAGCAAAGGGTTCGGTAATTCCCGGAAGTAGAGCTTGCAGAGAGAGCTGACCGAGTGGATGTCTTGCAAGTAAACATCTTTGGAGAGCTCAGGTACCCTCTCACTATCGAATTCATGCCTGAGACAGAGACAAAGAAAATTCATCAGGACAGGCTGCGTGGGCTTATTGTCACATATGATTGTCACGTACGTTGTCACATTGTGAGGGGCTCCAGTGGAGAAACTATTTTGGTAGAAACTATTTTGGTAGGCAGCTCAATGATGCAAAGCAGGTGGGATCATGGTCTGTGCTATTAGGATTTTTCAAGCTGTTATTTATTTGATTTTTATCCTGCCTTTATTATTGTTTTTATGAATAACTCAAGGTGTCGAATATACCTCATATCCCTTCCTCCTCCTATTTTCCCCATAACAACAGCCCTGTGAGATGATTTGGGCTGAGAGAGAATGACTGGCCCAAAGTCACCCAGACAGCTTTCATGCCTAAAGTGGAACTAGAATTCATCATATCCCGGTGATTGGCTCAAAGTTATCCAACCAGCTTTCATGCCTAAAGTGGGACTAGAACTCACCGTATCCTGGTGATTGGCCCAAGGTTTATCCAACCAGCTTTCATGACTAAGGTGGGACTAGACATCAAAGTCTCCTGGTGATTGGCCATAGTCACCCTGCCAGCTTTCATGCCTAAATGAGACTAGAAGTCACCGTCTCCTGGTTCTTAGGCCAACACCTTTACCACGAGACTAAAAAAACTAGCTTTTCCTGAGTTTTGGAAGGAAAAAAATGGCAAATCTTATCTGAGAATACGTGACCATTTTTCTTGGACTTTCCCCAAATGAGTAAGTTTCAGATATTCTGGTTGGAGAGGAGCCACAAAGTAGATCTCAGGCTATTCACCTCTGATGTACTCTATGTGGAAAGATACCCACTCACATTTAATTTATGTATACCACAAAACATGGGTGGGACTTTACTACACCACAAAAGAGGCAGGTACGCATAGGCAAATCTCCCCATCCCATATGCATTGTTACTTGTTCTCTGCCATGCTTTTTACAATTTCTCTCTATGGCTCCTCCCATGGTCTACACTCACCGCAAACGCTGGATGTTGGAGGAAACACCGGAGAGACGGTAAATGCCATCCACGATGCCGTGTTTTTCGATGAAATCGGAACAAGAACGTAATACCTGGGGCACTGACATAGTAAAAACATGTCATGTACATTGTCTTCATAATTCTTAGGGAAAAAAACAGACAGGGCTAATATTTCCTGATGACATTACATCACTTGGGAATATGACAGGGGGTTAGAGAGGGAGAGAATGTGTGCATCCATGAACATATTTCAAAATGTTTAATCATACACCCACACACTTCTGACAACCGTTCTGTGAGGAGGGTTTCATTCTGCAATGGATTGACTCAGGATGATGATGGTGTTGTTAAGAGGAAGAGGAGGAGGAGGAAGAGGAGGAGGAAGAGGAGGAGGAGACAACACACATACACACATGGTCTTGATAATTAGTTGGTCCCCTGGATTTTCACATTACATTGAACTATTAATGAACTCCAACAGACTGCATTCATGCAACATATACCAAGTCACAAAATAACACGAACCAATGTGAAAAGTAGCCAAGCATGGGGTCTGGATGCAGCCTCTAGATTTGTAACCATCCTTGTTAAGACAGGGGTCCCCTCTAGAGTTGTAATCATCCTGTAGGGCAGGGGTCCCCAACCCCTGGTCCACAAAGCAGCATCAGTCCGCAGCCTGCCAGGAACCAGGCCATGTAAGCAAGCGATTTGCGCATGCACAGGATTCAGGCAGTGCGCAAAATGATCCCCCTTCCCGGTCCATGGAAAAACTGCTCTCCACCGAACCAGAAAAATTTATTTAATTTTTAATGGCTACTTCAGCTTCAACCACAACAATACAAGCGCACACAATAGATACAAACTCAAGGTAAACTGCACCAAACTAAATTGCAGGAAGTACGATTTCAGCAACAAAGTGGCCAATGCCTGAAATACTCTACCTGACTCTGTGATTTCTTCCCCAAACCCCCAAAATTTTAACCTTAAACTGTCTAGTGTTGACCTCACCCCATTCCTAAGAGGTCTGTAAGGGGCGGGCATAAGTGCACCAACATGCCTACCGTCCCTGTCCTAATGTTTCCTGTTTATTCGTATCCATTGCATATATTAATAATCATGTTTATATTTCTGTTATCCAATACGTTTGACAAATAAATAAATAAAAAATAAAAATAGAACAGTTGAGCTAAGCCACGCCCAGGCTCCTTGCTGTCTCCTTTTTGCTCACACCCCAAATACTGTTTCAGTTTCCTAACAGCCTCAACTCTCTCACACCATGACAGGACGGTAGCCAGATGAATACCGATGGATGCTGGTAGGCAGAGGGAGGATTTTTCCCCCCAAAACTAAGCCCCACCACATAGTTTCGTAGCGAAGCACGGGTATCAAGCTAGTACTGCCATAATTTTGTGATTATGAATGAGGATAGGATGGGGTGGGGTGAGGTAGGAAACTACATCTCCTTGGAAGTAGGCAACAGCAATGGCACTTAGACTTATATATCAATTTATAGTACTTGACAGCCCTCTCTAAGTGGTTTACAGAGTCAGCCTATTGCCCCCAGCAATCTGGGTCCTCATTTTATCCACCTTGGAAGGATGGAAGGCTGAGTCAACCTTGAGCCTGGTGAGATTCGAACTGCCAAATTGCAGGCAGCCGGCAGGCAGCAGAAGTAGCCTGCAGTACCGCATTCTAACCACTGCGCCACCGAGGCTCATTTCAAGGCAATGAAAAATAAAATTTAGTAGCAGACTCTCCCTGCACTACGGAAGAGCCAACTTACCATCACTGCCTGAGTTTTTGAGGTGTTCCCCTAAATCACAGCCAAAGACCCTCTCCCTCAGGATCCCCCGCTGCTTCAGGCGCTGTTTGCTGGGCCTAGACTTCATGAAAGTACGAAGGAACCCAATGAGTTTGCCATGTTTCTTAGACACTGGAAGAGAACGAGAAATAAGGATGGAGGGGAATTGAGCTTAGGAGCAGGGAGGTCAACTTTTTCAATCAGCTTTCCTCCCTGATGATAATTAGCTCCCCTTATTTCATTTAGGGCAGGGGTGTCCAACCTTGGCAACTTTAAGACTTGTGGACTTCAACT